TTCAGTCATTGTCGTAAAATAACTAGTATTATACTTCTTCCTTTCTCAGTTATGTGAGTATACAAAAAACTTCGAGGTCTCCTATCAACTTCGATCTTTGTTATCGAAAGCCCTGTTGTGGTGTGATCTTGTCCCTTTGGTCTACCTTTTTTCTTTTAAACAAGAGGCAGCAATTAATAAATTTTACCAATTGCACATACTTAATATTATACCATTTTGTTTTGTAGTTTCTCTGGTTGTGTCCTTGAAGGGTTTTCCTTCAGTGACACTAAAAACACATTAAAGTGTAAAAGAATAGCTAAAAAGAAAAAAAAATTACATTCATGCTAGGTGCTACAGTTACCTGCTGTGTGACAGTTTGAAACTGAACAGAAACATCTCATGCTACTTCCATGTGAACATCTATCATTGAATATCATTTTTGTGTATGTATGTACAATATACCAAATTTTTGAATAATTTCTTTCTTGTGTGTACAGTATACATGTCAAAATGTTGGAAAAATTTCTTTCTAGACACTTTATTATCACTGTAGAACTCACTAAAACAATCTAAAAAATAATTTTAGCTATATTCATTTTAATGCATAATTTGAATAACTGTGTCATCCTCTTCAAACAGTGTTACTTTTGATTAGATTTACATTGATCCACTAATTTGCGTAACGTCAGTTTATGATGGAAATGAACATTTGAAGCCTCATTGACAGCAAATGCAATTTGAGATGATAATGATGCCTTTGAAACATTTCATGTTGACTCAAGGTACGTTTTCACTGTGACAGTTTCCCTTCTGTTTTATTAAGAGATGGTTCTTCACTTGATTCAATGAAAAGACGCTGTGTTGTTGTGTAATAAGTTGTCCGTTGTTCAGAAGCTAGAACTAGATCAAAAGTGCCATGCCCAGTTTATTCCTGACAGCAATAATGTTAGCATGGCAGTATCATAGATTTATTAAAGAAGCAGGTGCAGCTGATGGTACAAACATTTACCTCCCCTTGAGAAGAAGTGTTGATCAAGTAACTATTTCTATTAGTAACATGGTAACTTGACTAAGTAGGATTCACCCTACAACAAAATGGCTTCCACAACTTTCGCAGCCTTGCTTCACCTGGAAAAAGAGCTCCCCCATGCTTACCAGACTTCTTAGAGGACTTCATTTTGACCAGAGGACTCCAATGGTACAACTAGCATAGCTCCAGACCTTGTCTAAGAGAAAAGCCAAAAATCGGTGAACCCACCATTTTGTTCAGCCACCTTCTTTCATTATCATTATCATCGAGTCCTATCAATCCAGTTTTCAGTGTCTATATCAGTACTGGTTGTTGCTACGAGGATAATTCTTACGCCAATCTACTCCAACTGTCTATGCACAGGTTCATGTCCAATCAGATCATTCTGCAAGAAAGGAAGAAAGTGATACTATGACTGCTGGATTGTACCATTGTAGCTGCATGCCACCATTTGTTTAACTAATGAAGCATTTGCTGATTGTGCTCTATCATTTGGGTGTGGTCGCCTGTGCACAGATCTACAGCTTCAGCAGAAGAAGTTAATGTTTCACCTAGCTTTGCTTGCAATGCACTGCATTACTGCCTTTAGTGGAGGTTGCCAGGTATGAATAGGTGTTAACATGTTACTGTTTTATCAAGTGTATAATTTATTTTATTAAAAAAATTAACGATTAAATCATGTTATGATATGCAATGATAATATGAACTTGACAACAGCCTGGAAGATGAGGACTATAGCTACAGAAGTTGAATGTAGGCAAGATAAATACTCTCAGCTCGCAATTTCTTAAACAAGGACTTGTGACAAGACTAGTGTTAACTTCACTTTTCATTCAGATAGTTGATATTCCATTAGCATATCTATTCAGTGCTGTCTTTCATCACTTTTGCTCTTTTAAATGCTGTAAAGTTGTAACAATGATAATAATGCTAAAGAAGTTATTGTTTTGTAAATTGAAGAAGTAAGACAAAGTTAACTATAGAAATACTATTTACATATTTAAGAAAAAATAGACACAAACAAGAACATAATAATTTTAAAAAGACAAGGTTAAGTAGGATTCCAGAGCAAATTTTTAAAAAGTAAAAGGAACGAAGATAGGTAGGATTCCGAACAAGCAGCGAAAATACGAAGTAAAAATCCTATTCTCTATAAGCCAGAAACTACCAGCACAGTTGGAGAAT